TTCAGCAAACTTTTCTTTCGTCTTGAATTTGACCATTCAAAAGTCAGCCAANAATAATATTTTTTTTCGTGATTAAATCCTAACCCCGATATGATACAACCTGACGTAGTGTTGTAAGCTCCAGCAACTAGCCTTCATAGTCATGCGATTTTTTGATCGCTCTATCACTTTCATAGATGTACATGATGTCGCTTAATCGTGCTAACTTTCGAAACCAAATGAGTGAATGCCTTCAGCAAACTTTTCTTTCGTCTTGAATTTGACCATTCAAAAGTCAGCTAACATCAGCGAAAACATTCAGTCAGCAAACGAACCCTTGCTCGAAGATGTGTCCTTTTTCGATCGGTGCGTCGAAGTCGCCCTCATCGCCAGTGCCGATCGCATAACCCGTCATCTGGCGTTGATCAGCATCTCGATTTCTCGATTGGTATTGTTGCTGCTGAGACTCGTCATTCCACTCATCTTCATCTGCGCTATCACCCTCCGAACCACCTGTGGAGTCATACTGAACGAAAGGTCTCGGTGAATTGTGTCGATAATTATAGTTGTTAGCATAATGTTGATCTGATGTGCGATCATTATTCGCAGCTAGATGTCTGGCTTGGAAACCCACTGATGCCACCTGAAACCGTGCTCGTTCAAGTCAGACCATCCAGTGCTGACTGATACAATGAATGTCTACAGCCAAGGATCCCCACAGAAGGCAAAGGAAATTACCCATGTTTGGGTGATTTGGGGTGTCAGGAGAACTGGAGGGGTCGGGAAATCAGCTCTGGCATTATGCGTAGAAGCAGCACTATTATAACAAGAGGGGAGGGAAGGAGAGGGGTAATGAAAACCTGCCAGACCATCGAAGAAGGTAATGGAGCTCCCGAGCGTGGAGACCACTGACCTAGACGATGACGACGGTACAGTGTTTGATGGTGAAACTTAGATGTAACAATTGATGTCACGGATCCAGATTTGAGGTTACTCACTAGTCAGCTGGAAATTTTGCCGAAAAATGACTTCTGATGAAGAACGAGTGCATACCTGAGTATTTGCAATTGTCTGATTGGCGTTGAGGAAGAGTGATACGAAAACCAGAAGCATTATTATGATGACGAAACGAACTATCAAGCGAAATAGAATATCACTATTTGAACAATTCTATCTGAGTAACATAACTTCAACATTCAATCGATGCAACGATTCAGATCTAATCGATCTTTCCAAAACTCCAATTTATTGGATATTTCTTAAAACCTGAAAATATGCACAGTTAGTGAGCAGTATACGATATCCTTGGAAGCCAAAAACAGGTCTTCTTCAAGAGCTGATGTGGAACGATACGATTGTTAGGGTGCAAGATTTGAAGCTACAGATCATAGACGAACATTAATGTGGTCCACACAATATGATGTGGCCTTCTAGGATGAAGGCATCTAATAAAAGAGATTCATCGTATCAGATGTACAATATTTAGGAAACCTGCAATTGGCACACGGAATCTGCGTACAGGCGTTTGTCATGCTGTCCATTGAAGAGCTAACGATCCCTTCTTTTAGCAAGGTAATAGAGATTCGAGGTGTTCTACGTGAGATGTTCTACGTTCTCAATTTTGACCAGAAATATTTGCTTCAGTTGCGAGGTAAAGAAGGACAAATTTCTTGTTTCTAGATAAAATTAGACATCTCTGTAGGGCCCCCGTAGTAAGGATGGTCTGTTCTTGTGTCAGACCGTCCATACCAGAAATCGGGACTGGTATTGTAGATTACATAATAGGATTTTGAATGTATCCGTTTCGATGGCGTGGTAGCCACGCCAGAATGTGGATGTTACTTCCGGCATCACAGAAACAGCTAAAATGTTGAACATCAAAAGGGGTTTTGCTGAAGGGATGGTTCTCGAGTGCGGTGAGGAGCACAACCCATATTCTCTTTCCTAAAGCTCCCTCAGAAACCCGCAAGTGTTTGCATGACTCAAAACAGTAATCGTCTCAGCATGAGAACTGAAAAAAAGCGACTCTGTGAGATACTGAACGTATCCTTCCAACTAATGCCCGAGTGTCCCTACGGGGACAATCAGCAATTAACCCTTCAGAGATGAAATTTAATAAATTTTTTTGATCCAAATTATCGAGCTTGATCAGAAATCGCTATTAGTCTTGATTTTAGTCAAAAAGTACCACCGAATCGGTCATCAAGGAATGACCGCTTAATGAGCTAGTAATCAGACCATTGAAGCATTTTGCGCGACGAATTTTATAGTTCCACGATCGGACACAATAGTAAAAAGAATCATCAGGAGTGCAAAACAAGGTACGTTCGTAGGTTTCTGCACGCAATCTTGACTGAACACAAAAATCAATCGCTAGGCTCTCCATATGACACAAAGGGTTACGTGCATGCAAATATCAGCTGAATTCTATTGTGAAGAGATTGAGCGTAAATTTTACTTAATATATAATTTCACACTGTAACGAAAAGAACTCCATCTCCAGTGAGAAATTGCTGCTAGATGAACAAAACGTGCCTGGTAACGAAGTTACGACAATTGATAGCTAGGAATACTTCAACGGTTGAGTGCGGACACAATCGCAACCTAATCAGCACTTCAATTGTTGTGAGTAAAACCTCTTTTTACTCAACAATACATCCTGTCCGCCTCTTCAAATCAGTTCGATTTTCTCATTTGTAAGTTCCACTTTAATCAGTTAATGCACGATATAGGGACATTCAATAAAAAATGTCCTGAATGCGCACTTGTTTAAATGAAAAAACGAGATTTTGTACTAATCATTTATGAATGATTACTACTTGATATACGTCATAATCAAATCGCCTTTCAAATCAGTTGTGGGGACTGTCGCAAATAACGAGCGCAATATTGAACGTAAGCAAAAGTAACAGTAATAATGATCAAGATCATAACACAAACGATATCAGCGAAAAAAA